ATGTAATTTCTGAAAGTACTCTTAGGGCCTTACACTGTGCAGGAAAGAGATATTTTACTGAAACAAATAACTTTTTTTCCCCCACTGTTTTATAAAACTTGTTTTTTGGGGCCGATATATTAATGTTAATGAAAAATTCACTGCATCTTTTCTTTAGGGTGTTTAACTTTCTTACCTTGTACCATCTGACAGATGGGCGAGGGTGTCCAGACACACGACACTCAAATCTGGCATTACTGCCTTCATGTACCTCCTGGCTACTCAGACGAGAGCTGAATGTTGGAGGTGTAGATCTGACGACGCGTTTACTCTTGGGCTTGATGTGGATCTCAAAGTCTGAGGTGTAATCTTCTGGGGCCATGTTGAAGGAGGAACGGAGTGGTTGTTCTGTGTCACTTTGGACAACTCGTCTTGGAGCTAGAGTAATTGAAATTCAAAGGAAAGTGTGAGAGTGTTCAGTTCTCATGAGACAATTCAGTGAACACCTTTTTGGTGCAAAGAACTTACAAGTATTAGAAGTAGGCCACAAACATTGATGACCCATGTCAAAGACAGCAATCCAGAAAACTCACTGAGCAAGATGGCATCTAAAATGTATATTATATTATGTGATAACGCAATTAAGAAAAGACAGTTTGTAGCATTGAACAAAGCACACGTACGCTGGAGAACAGGCTTATGCCACAGTAAGTAGCATAAATCCAAGGCACGACAGAACATCAAGGAATAATTTGGACTGCTCAATGTGAAACAAAGTGCCTGAATAGAATATTCGATCTTGTTTATTAAGGAAAAATGGATCAAAAGAATTCTCCTCCAATCAACTGCTCTCACTACTCAATCAACACAGACAACTATGACACTGACGCAACATCAAAAACTCTCACGTCCAGTGCTGATATAAAAGGACTGAAACAAAAAAAATGCATAACAGGGTAAAGTAAGTGCAACTGCAATCTCACCTTCCACGATGAGTTTAGCAGTACAAGATGCTAATCCGGCAGGATTCTCAGCTTTACATGTGATTTTCCCATGATCCTCTGGACGGACACGCTGGAAAACCAACGTGCTGGTCCCATCATCTCTCACAATAATCTTTGTGTTTGGGGAACTATGCAGCTCCTCCTCATTCCTAAACCACCAGATTTCTGGTTTCGGGGTGCCGACAACTGTGACGTCAAACCTTGCCGTCTGGCCCTCTGGAACCCGACAGTGATTGATAAATTTGGTAAAGGTTGGTGGGATGCGGACCTCCATGATTCGCTTAGTTGCAGGTGGGTGTGGGACAGCCGATGGTTCTGGTATCCGATGAATCTGTGTCTGATGAGTACGGATGACTTCAGGTGAGACCTCTGTTTTAGTTTCTTTTTTCGTTGTAGTGGTTGTTTTCACGCTTCGACCGCCAAACGGTTTGGCTTCCTCAACTAATTTGGTTGTTACTGTGATGGGTTTCTCAGCAGCTGCAGATGTCCCCTATTCAATTCAAGAAATATCGCAATCTTTGGGTACTGATCACAAAGAATGTATTAACCGTAAATATGCAACCTGCAACAATTACAAATCTTTACTCATCGACATTTTTAACATTAAAATTACCATTTTAGTCTTCTTTTCTAAATCAAGGCTGTGCTATTAACAAAATAGTGAAAATAGTGAAAACCATTGATCCGCTAACAGAAGTGAGACGATTTTTTCACAGTTCCAGAAAAACTTGGAATTAAAACTGTGGTACTTGCTTTTCAGATTGTAAGATCCTTATGAATAGCAAGAACTGTAAAAAAAAATGAAGAGTTGATCTCCCTAGCATATTAACCACTACCAGCCGGGGACTCCGAAATCGGAGCCGTATGGTTTATATGTGTGGCCGGGGTCTCCGAACTTGGACAAAGGAAACAGGGCCCTGTAACAAAAGACCGTACTCCGAA